GGGGCTTTTCAAAATGTTGTTAATGTTACAGTTACAACCCCAAAAGATGTATACATTCCCATAAAGGTTTCAAAACACGGCTGTGCGCCGTTATAAAAAAGAATGGTATGCTGGTATGAACTGGCGATCCAGCTGCATATCCGCTTGAAATGGCAAGGGTTTTATTCGATTGGCTTACACACACAAAACTTCCTTTACCTCTTACCGATACAACCCAGGCAGCTGTGAGCCTTTACACTTATACTTATGGGTGGTACAGCAAACTTTTCGTACTAAAAAGACAACTGTGGGATATCCAGGTTATCAAAACAGCAAAAAGGCCAAACTCGTCCAGGAGAATTGTAGATCAGATCCCTTCTAAGTATCTTTAATAATGAAGTCCATAAAGAAGTATGGTCCTTTTTGATGACTTACCTTTTATTTCCCACACCATATTCTTTACGTCGTTTCCGTAAGCATTGATCTGCTGCGTATAGTAGCTAAACGTCCTCTTCTGTAAACCTTGGTCTTGAAGGTAGTGGGGGTCTGGGTAACCATGGTGAGATGGGTTTTGGTGCCACTGTTAAATAATGATACAATAATATATAATATTATTCAACAGATTAAGATAAGTAAATCCAACAAAGAGGATTCAGGCGATCTTGGCACGGTCAGGTGAGTTTCGGTTATCAACTCGTGATGTCATTGGTTTCGGCAACCCAGTCTGAAATAGTTTAACATATCGTCTTATCCAGTAGCGCCGATTGATGTTCATGCTGCCAATCACTGAATTATCTGCTCCAAACCCTTTTATTATGTTCCAGATCGCCATCATAGAGCTAGAATATTGCTTATTGTGGCATTCAATAACGTACAAACAAAACATCCTCAGTTCAGGGCCCTTGAATCTTTCACTGTCGGAACAGTGTGGGACTACTCCCAAGAAGCACTGCCGGTGAATATCACTGTCCAGTACTGCAGCCTCTTCTTTACTCAGAGTGTCACAGGAGCTGTAACAAGCCCGGGTATCCTCAGTTAAGATATCGGAAGGTACCAAAGTCACTCAGCACAATTGGATGTCCCCCGACTTGCGCTTAGCACTGGAAATGCAAGCGGAACATTTCCAAACGAGGTCAACATATTTGCTGCGTTTAACCTGAAATATGTCGAAATTCTCTGCTCAGTGGCTTACCTTTAAGAAATCAATGATCGTGGTTTCGAATCCTGGCTAGCCACCATGTTTTTAGGCTTGTCAGCACCAAACGCATGTTCGAGGGTATCAACAAGACTGTAGAGATCCGAGACCTGCATTAATTCTGGCTTTCCTGTCACAATATATACTGGAACATTCAAAACCCAACTCACTCACTGTTTATCATATGCAGCATAGTCCCTTCATCAAGTTAATCTAAAAACAGTCGTTGATATATAAAGGTGATGACAATAAGGCATAATGGTACCTACATTCTCAAAGAGGCCTCCATTTAAATCTCTGTTGATCCACCGTCCTGCCACCGTACCAAGTGCTTTACACTTTGAGAAAAGACTAGACCTGTCGAAACCGTTGTGTTTATTCCATCTGTCCACCTCATAATGAACACGTCCACCTTGAGACAGCCATTCGTTGTAGATGGTGACTGTGGTGTCTGAGAACACCTCAGCCCACAGCAACACCGTAACGAACGCTACCACCGGTACTAACTGCATGACTATACAACTTCAGGTGAGACAAGGTTGTTATATACTGAGACATGAGTGTGAAAAGTCCATATGTTATGCACACCTTGTTTGAGATATGTAAGCCCATATCAGTTAAATGTGTTTAATACCATCACGAGTGTAAGGAATGTGTACTTTTAAATTTAGCACAGTCAGTTGTTTAATCGGGAATCTTAACAATGTGTACTTTTAAATTTAGCACAGTCAGTTGTTTAATCTAAACAATCACAAAAGATTTTGTTTGTTGGTATACTGGTTCTAAGGTTGCTGCCCCAGACAAGTCTTTTTTGCACATACATAGCAATTTGCTTTCGACAGGCTCTCGTTTAAAACCCTCAGAGTGATGTTATAACGTTTCGCTAAAAAGGAAGTTAAAACTTACATGCACAAACTTTGTTATTACGTAACTTAGCATTTAGAATGCATAACATTAGGCTATTGATACGCAAGAGGGACAGCTGACATTTAAATGTGTATGGATCACTCTGTTTCCAGGTTGTTGTTTTTAAACACTGGCAATTTTCATCAGGCAAGCAATGCCCATTTGTAGTCAAATACATCCTGTGTTGTCGTTTCTTCACACGTGGTGTTTGTTTCCTACTAGCACCTTATTATGGACGCACCCATCTTCAAATGCCAGGCCGGGGTAGAATAGGTCTTCAGCAACCCATGTGCTTGCCATAAAAAGCGACTATCTTGTCGTAAGAGGCGACTAACGGGATCGGGTGGTCAGTTTCGTTGACTTGGTTGACACATGTCATCGGTTCCCAATTGCGCAGATCGATGCTCATGCTGTTGATTACTGGATTGTCTGGTCCAGACTCGATTATTTACAGACCGCCGCCATATAGCTGGAATATTGCTGAGTGCGGCGTAAAACTCAACTCACTCACTCACTCACTCACTCAAATGCAAGGGAATGCAACGCATACCAGCCGAAATCGGATCGTGTAGCCTGAATATGTTTTAAAAGTAAATCACCAGCGTGATCTTTGACCAGTGGTCTCTATTCTGAGGTGAAATGATTCGTTTAAGAAAGACAACATCACTTTTGAAACAAATGGTACATTTTCAACGTCCTGAAGCATACTTTACTTTTTTTAAAGAATATTCTGTGACAGTCCTCCAGGGTGTGCTTTTACATAAGATTCATTACATTATTTACCCATGAAGATGAGTTTTAGAATCGATCTTAAGCACCCCATGCTTGTCGTAAGAAGCGATTAACGTGATTGGGTGGTCAGGCTCGCTGACTTTGTTGACACGTCATCGTTTCACAATTGCATAGACCGATGCTTATGATCAATGGACTGTCTGGCTCGAATATTTACAGACTGCCGCCGTATAGCTGGACTATTGCTGATTGCAACAAACATTATATTAGTTGCAACGTTTTCATGTATATCCGGCCGCCTCCGTGGTGTAGTGGTTAGAGCGTCCGCTCGAAGAGCGGAAGGTCGCGGGTTCGATCCCCGGCCGGGTCATACCAAAAGACGTTAAAATATTGGTACTTGTTGGCCCTTGTCTGGCGCTCGGCATTAATGGCTACAACAAGGACTGGTCGGCTCGGAGTCAGTATACTGTGTCTGAGTGGGGTATTCATGCTTCACTGCGGCATGGTATCTCAGTGAGCTAGCACTATAAAAGTCTGGGCTAGTACAAGCAGCCGCACATACACATACACTCGCATGCACGTCGTCATATGAGCGGAATATTCTCAAGCACGACGTTAAACCAAATTTCACCTCACCTCATGTATATCCCGGTGTTGGAATAAGCCCCATGTTAATTGAAAGATGGTTATTCAAAGACAGCATATGTACTCTAAATGTAAATATATGATCTGATCCACGAAAGGTTAACAGCATCCAAATACTTTAGGAAGACGTTTTTCACACATACCTTCCCCGATAATATCCATAAGCAATCTATGTCTTCAATGCTTTGTAAGCATTCATTACTATATTGAGTTATTTCTTATACTTCGTTGCGGCGGTCGAATAGACATATGGGATCCATTCCCCCACATGGTTACAATATGTGGAGCCCATTTTTGAAGTAACGCTAAATGAGGTGTATCTCACTCACTCACTTATGCTTTGTCGTACCGCTATGTTTACTATTGTATGTACGAACCATTTGGCAGTCTCTAAAGTGAGTACCAATTGAATTGTGTTAAAATGGTAATGTATGATTCTGTGTCATGTTTATGAAGGGATACTTGTTTTCAGATGCCGGCCGGAGTCGGTTTAGTCCTCTGCTTCATTTCTTACAGACACATTCCATATACCGGTGGGGCATTATACATAAATCATAAGGGTTTTAACATACATTATTATATTTATTTAGGTGAAACCATTTTCTAGAACATCCATCGCAAGTTACAAATATTCTTCTTCTTCTGTATATGTGGCTTAGAGCAAAGTAGATTTAAATGTACATTTTAATAATGCTATACACTACTACATCGAACACAAACGTCGAGCTCCAGTGCTTTATTTGTTGCTTCCTTCCTATTTTCAGAAAATACTTGAGCAGCGACACTATTATTTCTTTTCAATAAACGGTTAATACATATGCAGGTCAGCTACAGAACTCTTTCCGTAACTGTATCCTGTTTGTAGATTTAAGTGCGGATACAACGTCTATTCGTTCAGGGCATTTAGATGCCCCATCTAGTCAACGTGTGCAACAGGGCTTGACATTACTGGAAAAAGGGGCCAAATCCAATCCTCGACACCTGCGGCTTGTATTTTACTTTCTTCCACAATAATCAAGCACATATTGGTCAATTACGCAACAAAAAATTGCGCTGTAGATCGCCAGATACCAAAGTGAGACCTCCTAACAAGGGATAAAGGAGATTTGCAGTCCTTATTCGTCATGACTCTCACCTAAGGAGGATGTAAAAGAAGTTTAAACTGACGAATATGTACAGTAAAAGTACTGGAACCTGTATTTTACTGAGACAGTTTAGTCCCATATATAACATGTGTTATACAGTAAAAAAGAACTGCTCTGCATGAAATACTTGGACTGCCAAGTATTAAAGTCCCTTCTTGTTGGACTGTTATTTTACCATGTACGGTGCCTCAGAACCTTCGAGGGCATAGCCACAAACAGTATTAAATGACAGCATAGGTAGATATCCGAAACAAATGGTCCCGTCCATCAGTGTCGGTGCGATCTGACAAGCCTGGTATGTTTTGATCAGATACATTAGAGAGTTTCTTTATAGGCCACAGCATAAATTGTTTTCTCTATCATAGGCAACACAAATTAATAAGTACACAGGAAAGGGATAATAATGAATATTTCTTTAATGCAGATTCCCCACAATCAGTGCAACAGAGCTGACATGACCGCCATTCCCTTCAAAGCTCATATCGACTGTGTTTGAAGAGTGAACCTTATCTGCAGGCACCCAGTATTCCCACACTTCCCATTTGGTAGGGGCGTTGTTCTTGTCGGTATCATACAGCATATATGTTGATGGTAGTTTATGTCCATTTACCGTAACGCTCAGAGGTTTCGCATTAGCGCTCTTGTCTCTGCTTACCCCAATTCTCATACGTGCAGTGTGGAAGCCAGATCCGTGGACCTGAACCGAGGTTGAAGCATGACCGTTATTTATTGGGATGACCATGTTCTTTCCAAAGTAAGAATTCTCATTATTTGTCTTCAGGCCTCCGAAGTTGTAGTTGGTCTTAAATTTGTAGATGCAGCTTGACTCTCCTGGGAGACCAACATGTCCATGGTTCTTGTTGGTATCAAAGTGGACATTGGAATGCATTGCTGGGTTGCCGTTCTGGTACTGAAGACACGTGGATTCACCACTAGTTGGGTTAATCCAGCCATTGTGGAAGTCCAGCTTCACATTCTGCCATTGCGTACCATAGTTGTGAAGAAGAACCATTATCTCTTTGTTATTTGGATTCGCAAGAACTAGAGGTGCTACTTGTCTCTCCCATCCTGAGAAGTCACTCGAGGTTTTGAGGAACTTTTGGTCATAGTACAAATTGTGCCAGAATTTGTAGAAATTTGCAATTTGTGTATCGTGTCCATCAGGAGTGAAAAGAGACCAGTTGAGGCTAGTGTGTCCTGGATATTGCTGACAGGCCAATAAGAAGACGATGGCTCTCTCCATATACTCCCTCATGCTGAGATAAGTAAACATCTGTCCAATTGACAAGTAAAGAGTGGCAAAATCAACAATGCCAGAATGAGCATCCTGGCTGATACCATGAACTCCACCTCTTCCAAACTCGCTGACGATGATAGGAACATTTCTTCCTTTCTTTATATGAGAGTAGTTTTCTATCAAGTCAATGACTCCAACCAGACGTGCTTCGTTGATGCCAGAAAACGAATGCTTTCCACCGGATACATGAAGATCGTTGTAAGCATGGAAGGAAAAGAAATCCATGTGATCCAGAGACATGTCCATAAACTGTGCCATTCTCTTCCACACGCTGAAATTATTTGCATCTGCTCTGATCGTATAGCCAGTGTATGTTGGGCCTCCAACTTTGATCCCAAATCTTGATTTTAGCTTTTGTGCCACAGATTTGTGAAAGTTTATCACATCCGTTGAGTCGAGGATCTTATAAGAAGCGTCGGGTTCGTTCATGACTTCAAAGAAAGCAGGCAGATGACCTCCAGTGTAATCCTTGGCACCCTGAACCATCAAGGACACAAACTCTGCCGCCGCATCTACGTTATTGGGGAACTTTCCTCCGTGCTGGGACTTGTCAATCCAGCTTGGCCAGCTGAGACCTAACAAAAAAATATGGATACTTTTATCTGTATTTGAGGTGGTGGTGTAGCCTAGTGGTTAAAGTGGTCCTTGGTCAAAGAGCCGGGTTTGACTCCCTACATGGGTACAATGTATGAAGCCCATTTCTGGTGTCCCCTGAAATGATATTGCTGCAATATTGCTAAAAGCGGTTCATCTACTGACTCATTAATCAATAATCTGCATGTCAGTGTAACTAGGTAGGTTTCACAACAGTCCGTCCATCTTACTAGTGGCACCCAGGTTTTAGTGATTCCATCCGCTCGAGGGTTTTTTCACTAACATCAAACATTATTAAAGGTTTCTCTCAACAGATGTCTGTATTTCTTTATTATTTTCAAAACACGGTGGTGCGTCTTTATAAAATGGTATTCTGTATCTCTCTGCGAAGCCATTCGAAATATGAACCAGCGAGTTGGTTGCATATCCGCTTGAAATGTTAAGGGTAGAAATTTGCTGACATTCCTTCCTCAGGATGATCTTATCAGTTATGTTTGACTCAGAATGTTTTCCTCGTTACAAGTAAGCAGCAGAATTTCTCTATTGTCTGGCACACACAAAACGTCTGGCACTGTTACCGATACAACCCCTAAGATGTCTACGTTTACTAATTATTCAAAACACAGCTGTACGCCTTAATAGTAATACATACGGACGGTGCAGCAAAGACAATTCTGGGACATCCGGGTTTTCAAGAACACCAAAAAGGCAACATCTTGTCCAGAAGAATTTTAGACCCCTTTCAAGTGTCTGTTCAAGAAATTAAGTTTATAAACAAGTATGGTCCTTCTTGATGACTTACCTTTAATTTCCCACACCATATTCTTTACGTCGTTTCCGTAAGCATGGATCTGGTCCATGTAGAAGTTGAACATCTTCGTCTGTAAAGCATGGTCTTGTAGGTAGTGAGGATCTGGGTAACCATGGTGAGATGGGTTCTGGTGCCACTGTTCAAAAATGATACAATAATGTTATCATTTAACAGATTAAGATAAGTAAATCTAACAAAGAGGATTCGGGCGACATTGACATGTTCAGTTTCGGTCAACAACTCATGATGGTGCCTGATGTCACTGATTTTTCCAAGCGCTATTACTATCTTCAAGATCGCCGTAATACAGCTGGAATATTGCTTATTGTGGCGTTCAATAACGCACAAACAAAACATCCTCAACTCAGTGCCCTTAAATCCTTCACACAGTGCAGGAACAGCGAGTAGTGTTTTTCCTAACCCACCAAGAACGCTTTAGAGAATATGAAGATTCCCCAATATTGCCGCCGCCTTCTTTATTGAGAGTGTCAGATGAGCTGTGTTCCTGGTAGCATGCCCGAGTACTCCCACTTAAGAGACTGGAAGGTTCCAAAGACACTTTCATTACAATTGGATGTCGCAGGACTTGAAATGACAGCGCAACATTTCGAAAAATACGAAGTCATCACATTTGCTGTGTTTTATCTGAAATACGTCGAAATGTACTGTGCAGAGTTGCTTACCTTACAGAAACCTATACTCGTGGGTTCGAGCCCCTGCCTGCCACCATTTTTTAGGCTTGTCAGCACCAAACGCATGTTCGATGTATCAACAAGATTGTAGAGGTCTGAGACCTGAATTAATTCTGGTTTTCCTGTCACAATATATACTGGAATAGTCAAAGCGACGGATTTTTTGTCCTTACATCAGGTTATTCAAAAGAAGCATAGTTGATGTAGAATTGCCATGACAATAAGGCATAATGGTACTTACATTCTCAAAGAGGCCTGCATTTAAATCTCTGTTGATCCATCGTCCTGCCATGGTTCCAATAGCTTTACACTTTGAGACAAAATTGGACCTGTCGAAACCGTTGTGTTTATTCCATCTGTCCACCTCATAGTGAACACGTCCACCTTGGGACAGCCACTCGTTGTAGATGGTGACTGTGGTGTCTGAGAGCACCTCGCCCCACAGCAACAAAGTAACGAACGCTACCACCGATACAACCTGCATGACTATACAGTTTCAGGTGACACGATGTTGTTATATACTGAGACATGGGTGTGAAAAGTCCATATGTTATGCACACCTCGTTTGAGATATGTAACCTCATATCAGTTAAGTATTTTTAAATCAGTCACGAGTCTAAGGAATGCGTAGTAAATATAGCACAGTCAGGTGTTTAATCAGGAATCATATATCCTATATACTGGTGTCAAGGTTGGTGCCACAGACAAGTATTTTTGCACATACATGGAGCTTCCGGTAAATCTAATGACTCTCATTTAAAACTCTCAGAATGATGTTAGAATGTTTCACTAAAAATGAAGTCTTCTGTCTATGTTTTTCCAGCTTTTTTATGTAAACAGGAAAGAATTTCATCAGGCAAGCAATACTCATTTGTTGTTAAATACATCCTCTGTTATCGTTTCTACGTGATCTACATGTTGTGTATGTTCCATACTACCATTTCATTATGGACGCACCAATCCTCAGAATGCCACAGAATGACTTCTTTGAGTGGCAGTTAGATGTTGGTGTGATGAACAACAAGGAGAGTTCTATGGATGCCTCGCATAACATCGGATCGTTTAGCCTGAATATACTTTTAATGGTAATCATCAGTGTGATCTTTGAGGCATATGGTCTCTATTTTGAGGTAAAATGATTTGTTTTGAGTAACTACGTTACTTTTGAAACAAGTGCATTTTCAACAATCTGACTCAATGCATTCACCTTTTTTAAATAATTGTATGAAATTAACTCATCTCGAATATAGTCATGTCATAACATATGTCTACATCGTACCATCGTTGTCAACTGTTCCGGTCCCACACAAGTCCCACAAGCGTTTCAAAATAACAAGTGTTTTTAACATATTTATAAGAAAAAAGCCACCTGCGTTTTTATATATGGATGTGAACTTTGAAAGCTGTGCAATGAATTTAGGTGTATCTATTCTGTCGTATATTGGGGGCATCAAAGTCTTGAAGATACTGCTTTTAGAAACATCGGTACTTTAGATAGCTTCATAAACACTCTCTTCAGATGTAGCCAGACTCGTTCAGAAGGTTTTGCTTCTATCAGTAATGTCTTATGAATATAGAATTAGTTCTGGGTTGTTTTTTTGTTGTTGCTTTTTGTTTTAGTATTATTTAACTTTTCAGCTGTCAGCTGTCGGCCATACGTTGAAATTTAGTCACGACTGGAAGAGGAACACTTTTCATGGATAGACAATCTTTGATTTCAGTACATGCGGCGTTTCGGTGTAGATCCTAACACCGTTATCAAGAAAACCGTCACCGAAACGTCTCATCTAATGTTATCAAAGAAGTTGCCTATCTATAAAAAGTGTTCCTCTTCATCATACCAGCTTCTAAATGCCACTTAAGGAAGTCATAGTCACGACTCGTGTATACAAATCCTGATTCTTCTACAGTAGCGTGAATCACTTAAATCCCCGAAGGCAATATTTCAACCATACCGTGGCGAGTAGTCTCACGATCAAATTAAAAATACGTACATATAGGTCGGATGGAAAAATATTACAGATCATACTTAAAACTAGTTTTCAAAACATTAATATTCAAGACATCTTAGTCAATAACACAGCATAACCATTTGCTATAACTAGATGACCAGAAACCAAAGTTAAGCCTCCAAACAAAAGACAGTGGTGATTTACAGTAACTCTTCGTCAAGTATCTCATGTAAAATACCAAGTGAAAGTTTTTGGAGCCAAGGTTTACTGCTGTAAATGTAGTAGAATCTGTATTTTACTGAGAAAGTGTTATCCCAAATATACTGGACAAAATAAGTTAGGGATATTGGTATTTTTATGATTGATATTTTATCAGTGTGTCAATAGATTATTATTCATAAGTTCAAAATTTACATATATCCCTAACTACTTTTTTGTCCAGGATATAACATGTGTCATACAGTAACAGTCCGGCTTGCATAAAACTACTTGAACTGTTGTTCACCATAAAGTCCCTTCTTGTTGGACTGTTATTTTACCTTGTACTCTATCTCGGTCCCCTCGAGGACATAGCCACAACCAGTATTAAATGGCAGCATAGGTAGACACGCGTGTAGAAAGTGCAGTCTTGTGTGACAGTCGAGTCCACTCCATCAGTATCGGTGTGGTCTGTCAAGCCTCGCAAGTTACGTTTTGACCAAATACATTAGACAGATCATGCTCCTTATTATACCTGAGCATAAATTGTTTTCTGTATCATATTCAACACAAAATAACAACCCAGGAAAGGGAAAACTGAATATTTCTTTAATGCAGATTCCCCACAATCAGTGCAACAGAGCTGACATGACCGCCATTCCCTGCAAAGCTCATTTCGACTGAGTTTGAAGAGTGAACCTTATCTTCAGGCACCCAGTATTCCCACACTTCCCATTTGGTAGGCGCTTCATTCTTGTCGGTATCATACAGCGTATATGATGATGGTAGATTATATCCATTAACCTTAACGCTCTGAGGTTTCCCATCAGCGTTCTTGTCTCTGCTTACCCCAATTCTGAGACGTGCAGTATGGAAGCCAGATCCGTGGACCTGAACCGAGGTTGAAGCATGACCATTATTTATTGGGATGACCATGTTCTTTCCATAGTAAGTATTCTCATTATTTGTCTTCAGGCCTCCGAAGTTGTAGTTGGTCTTAAATTTGTAGATGCAGCTTGACTCTCCTGGGAGACCGACACTACCATGGTTCTTGTTGGTATCAAAGTGGACATTGGAATGCATTGCTGGGTTGCCGTTCTGGTACTGAAGACACGTGGATTCACCACTTGTTGGGTTCATCCAGCCATTGTGGAAGTCTAGTTTCACATTCTGCCAGTTCGTCCCATAGTTGTGAAGGAGAACCACCATCTCTTTGTTATTTGGATTCGCAAGAACTAGAGGTGCTACTTCTCTCTCCCACCCTGAGAAATCACTCGAGGTTTTGAGAAACTTCTGGTCATAGTACAAATTGTGCCAGAATTTGTAGAAATTTGCAATTTGTGTTTCATGACCATCTTTTTGGAACAGAGACCAGTTGAGGCTGTTATGACCCGGATATTGCTCATTGGCCAAGAGGAAGACGATGGCTCTCTCCATGTACTCCCTCATGCCGAGATAAGTAAACATCTGTCCAATTGACAAGTAAAGGGTACCAAAGTCAACAATGCCAGAATGAGCATCCTGGCTGATACCTGAAACCGAACCTCTACCAAACTCGCTGACGATGATAGGAACATTTCTTCCCTTCTTTATGTGAGAGTAGTTTTCTATCAAATCAATCACTCCAACCAGTCGTGCTTCGTTGATACCAGAAAACCAATGCTTTCCACCGGATACATGGAGATCATTGTAAGCATGGAAGGAAAAGAAATCCATGTGATCCAGAGACATGTCCATAAACTGTGCCATTCTCTTCCACTCGCTGAAATTATTTGCATCTGCCCTCACCGTGTAGCCAGTGAATGTTGGGCCACCAACCTTGATCCCAAATCTTGACTTCAGCTTTTGTGCCACAGATTTGTGAAAGCTTATCATAGTGTTTTGGTCGAGGATCTTATAAGAAGCGTCGGGTTCGTTAATGACTTCAAAGAAAGCAGGCAGATGACCTCCAGTGTAATCCTTGGCACCCTGAACCATCAGTGACACGAACTCGGCCGCCGCATCTACGTTATTGGGGAACCGTCCTCCATGGTGGGACTTGTCCATCCAGCCGGGCCAGTTGAGACCTGACAGCAGAATATGGATTATGATGGGCATTGTTTCCAGTTCATTACTATCATTTGGTATTAACCTTACTGGCAGAAATTACAAACTGAGGTTTCCACAAATATATATTAATCTAACTGTATATTTTTCATTCCTTTGATCAACCTATTTACATACTACTCTTCTAGTAAACAGGTTTTCGCGCGAAATGCGCAAGGTGAATATTGAAGTTTACCGTAGCTAATACATTATTGCTTAGTTGTGATGCCATAACGCTAAACAAAGGCTACTGTTGAAATGAATGTTTTATATCAAGTGTTTATTACACACGTGGTCAACGTATGGGTAGTTGCATACTAATCTCGTACGTCACACGAGTGTCATATCGCGTTGACCTGAGTCGTAACGACTTGACCTGAGATTCTAACGATTTGATTGTATAACCGATGACCTCTCAATTAGGTCACGTTCTGACGTAACTATTTTTTCATTCATAACAAACACGTGAATTCATTCATTCTACAACTTAGATGCATTGTGGGAATGTAAACATTGCGAACGTAACCGTGTTGCTGTTTAATTGTGAGTCGAACTGAGACATTATATCCGTCGAAAAACATAAACGCAATGTTTCCACCTGTTATGTTAGCCGAGTGAAGCAACTGCAAACCACGAAACGGGGTGCTACGGAGTAGTTTACTGTAGGAGGCTGTACGAGGCGATGACAACTGACATGCATCGTGACGTCATTACAGTGTGACGTCATGCAAATAGTGTACTACAGTACACAACTCTTCCTCAACCTCTTTATGAAACCGGTTTCGGTTTGAAACCAGAAAAATAACAAAAAATACGATATTTTGTCAATTTAATGCATTTAAGACGTGGGTAACAAATAAAATACCACACTCGGTCTCATTACATACGAATTATACGAAACTCGCTTTCGCTCGGTCAGATACCATAGGAAGGACACTCGTTTCGTATAATTCGTATGTAATGAGACCGAGTGTAGTATTCTCTATACATTTTATATTGTCCACTGTGTCTGGTGATGGTTGGTTTAGTTATTACTGCCGTTTAAACAACTGCATCATGTACTAGTATTTATTTATTACAGTTTGAACTCCATTAGTCTTGACTAAAAAGATCCACCCTATATTACGGACTACCATATACCAGAGTGAACGAGTGAGTTTTAGTTTTACGCCGCATTTAGCAATATTCCAGGAATATCACGGCGGGAACACCAGAAATAGGCTTCACACATTGTACCCATGTGGGAAATCGAACCCGGATCTTT